CACACACAAACAAATAAACAACATATGTGACGCACCCAAGTCCAAACACAGAAGCAAAAGCATAGACACAAATACATACACTCACACACATACACGCACACATTCACACACACACATACACACACACGCACGCATACACATAGAAATACATACACACACACACGTACACATAGAAATACATACATACACATGTAAAAGTACATATGTACAGAAAAACAGACACACAAACACACATATGCAGAAATGTTTTCGTTATTATACGTTCTTATTTGTGCGAAAATGCATAAATAAAAAGTGGTGATGGAATCAGTAAAAAACAACTTACCCATAACGATCAGTGGGAGAGAGAGCTCGGTGCTAGCCGGGAAATACGCCGCCGACCATGCAACACACACACTGCAATCAGCAAAAACACCAGAAACTACAGCGAAGTAAGCAAATGCCCAATCGTAACGAAGAACGAAAGCGCAACAACCCAACTAGAGTTCCAGACAAAAAACAGCCAGTGGCACAGGTCAGCATCGATCAATGGACAGGTCATTCACTGTGAGCAACAGGTCACTACAGAACAGGTCAGGTAAGGTAACCCACAGGGATAGAATCAGGTCGAACTGGGTAAAATAACCCACGGGGATAAAAACTGGTCAGGCAAGGTAAGGTAACCCATGCGGATAGGGACAGGTCAGGCGAGGCGGTAAGTTAACCCAAGGGGATAGGGACAGGTCAGATTGGGTAAGGTAACCCAAGGGGATAGAAACAGGTCAGGCAAGGTAACCCACGGGAATCGGAACAGGTCAGGTAAGGTAAGGTAACCCACGGGGACAAGAACAGAAGTGGTGACGGCTCGTTTTTACACACTGCATACTCTGTTTTATTTGAAACGAGCCGTAAATGGATGGGTAGCCCGAGAAGCGGGAAAGAAATGTGGGCGCTGGCCAAGAACTACGGCAACCCGGGGCTTCCCCCTGAACAAAACCGAAAGGGTGTAGCAGTGGTGGTGGTAGAATTACCTCGTAAATGCCAGTATTCGGACGCGTATAGGCAAAAAAAACATCGTCACATTGCGTCTAATGCGCGAAAATACAGTGCACAGTTGGGAAAATTCTCGAAATTCCGTTTGTTGGAACCCTCTTTGTCTATTTC